AAGACACCCAGACTGAAAGAGACTGAAAAAGATGGCTGCGTCCTTTGTAACCATAGTGCTTCTCTTTGTGTTTGTTTGAGTCTCTCTCTCTGGTATTTTGTGTCTCTTTGTGTCGCCTTGTTTGCTCCAAATTAAGAAATACAGCAAATATAGGAACTAGAATCACCTCCTCGTGGTCGTATCCCTCCGCCGCTCAGACTAGTTCCAGGTTACATCCCTGTTTCGGATAAAAGTCGGAGTCGGATAAAATATCAACCATTTGTTTTGTGATAATTCCTGTGTGAAGTCTTGAGTAATGGCTAAAAAAAAGTGTTTTCTAATGTCACCGTGACCTTGACCTTTGACCTTTACCTACCAAAATCAAATCAGTTCGTCCTTGAGTTCAAGTGAACGTTTGTGCCGAATGTGACGAAGTTCCTTCAAGGCGTTACTGAGTAATCGCGTTCACAAGGCCAAAACCTCGTTTTATGAGGTCACCGTGACTTTGACCTTTGAACTTTGACCTTTAGCCACCAAATTCTAATCAGTTTGTCCTTGAGTCTAGATGAACATATTCACCAAACTTGAAGCGCTTCCCTCAAGCTGTTACGGAGATATTGCGTTCACAAGGCCAAAAATGCGTTTTGTGAAGTCACGGAGACCTCGAACTTTGACCTTTGACCTTTTACCACCATAATGATTTTGCATAAGCAGCATCATTATTACAGATACTTTCTCTTACCCACACTTTGAACCTAACTTAACCCTTTATTAGATAACATCTGCTGGTGGCTCTGCACCAGAGTCTAGTGAGGGATGCAGCTCGTAGCTCACGGCACCAAAGATGACCGATGTGTGCCGCCGTCCCGGGGAGAGCAATCTTATCTCTGCGAGCCCTTCGGTAATTTACTGCCGGCTCTGCCGTCTGCAGTCACTTGAAAGATGCTGTAACTCCTTTAGGAAGATAGAATTTGGTCTGAGAGTTGAAGTATAATATTTGCTGCTGCTAGTTTGTGTGACGGTGGAGATGAATGCAGAATATTCTCTTCTTATATGATCAGAAATGTCACCTCATTTCAATAAAGATGAATCAACACAAACACAAACGAACGGAGGCAGTTTGGTCCGTCTTCAGTGCCACAGTCCTTCTGGCTGTGTCGGCATTTTTCATCTTTTTGTAGATGTTTTGTCTCTCTGATCTTTTTCTGTCTTTGTGGTCGTGTCTTTTAGTTGTTTTGCGTTTGTCATTTTGTTTGTCTTTGTGTCTTTTTAGTTTTTTAGTCTTCCGGTGTCTCTCGTCATCATTTTGTGTCAGTAGCCTTTTTCTTTGTAGTCGTCTTGTGTCTCTTTGTAATTGTCTTCTGTCTCTTTGTAGTTGTTTTGTGTCTCTTTGCAGTCATCTTGTGTCTCTTTGCAGTCATCTTGTGTCTCTTTGTAGTCTTGAAATGTTAACAGTCACTGGGCGGAGGCGAACAGAGGCTGTGTCTCAGGCAGACTCAGTCTTCCACCTCCGATCACACTGTGGTTTAAAAAGAAACAAAATCCTGTAAATTGCTGAGTTGTGTGCAGTTTTAAACTTGTGCATTTTCTCTTCATATATTTTATATTGATACAGATGTGCGTGCCACCGTCTGTGGCTGTTTGCCTTTGCAGGTAAATGAATCCCTCCCTGGAGTGCACTGAAAAAGTGCAGCATGGTAAAATCCCCTCTGGACATGGTTTTGAAAAAAGGCTCTGATCTCAAATTACAGTTCATTCTATTCCTCCATGTTGGACCTGAGGGCCATGGAAGGGCCCGTGATAATACAGATGTGATGCAGCTGAAAATCTATTTCTGTATTCAGTGTCAGAGGTTTGGGTCAGCTGCAGTACTCTGGAGCTGACGAGGAAATTATTTTTGTCAAGGTGAGGATTCATTTGCTCAAGGACGTCAGCAGAGCGCTTGCCAATGCAGAGCTTAATCCTGGGTCCTCTTGTCTCCCTCTCGGAAAAAAGAAAAAGGCATTACTCAGCTCTTTAAACACATTACTGACAGTGGCAATCCTTTATCGTTAAAAAAAAAATCAACCATACGGAGCTGGGGGAAAAAAAAGAGGCTAAACTTCCCCCCAAGGCTGGTTTGTAATGTGTTGTTTTCCACACATTACTGTAATGTGCTGCACCATGGGATTCACCCCTGTGAGACACTCAGGCAAATCACCCTTTGGAGTGTGTGTGTATTGTACATCTGTGTGTACATGGATTTTGTGTTTGTAAAATAAATGGACAGCTGGAGAGAGAGAGAGAGAGCGAGAGAGAGTCGGGCGCAGCTCCAGCTTTGAGGGATTTTGTCTTACAAGCTGCTGCGTTTCCGTTGACTCCAGAGCTGCAGCTTCAACATCCCAGACCCGTCCTGCACACAGGCTCCACAGCTGGAAGTAAAAAGAGGACGTGAGTGCACTGCACACTCTGAAGTAAACCCCCCACCCACCCCCACCACCACCAAAAAGAAATCTCTGCTTGAACATCTCGACTTTTCTTATCCGGAGGAGAAACTGAGTCAGGGCGGTGACTGACTGTACCGCCGCTGCTCCCGTGATGTTCAACACAAAGTTAAATGAGAGGGTTTTTTTTTTGTTTTTTTTCATGCTTGTGTTCCCTTCGGTGCCTGAATGCACCACCGCTCACACTGGCATAAATTACAATGTGATTTTTCTTTAAGTCTTACTTTCAATTTTATTGTTCTCAAGTGATACTGGGAAACGGGCAGTAATGGGTTAAGTTACTGTGCTGTGACGGCAGCAACATCAAGTGTGTGTGTGTGTGTGCGTGTGTGCGTGTGTGTGTGTGTGTGTGTGTGAGACAGGATAAAGAGAGACGGACGTGTCTCCTCAGGCTGTTTATCAGCACACACCACTCTGGCCAGATTAAACCACAACTACTTTATAATTACTATAATGTATTCTCTTTGGACAAGAAGGCCTCTCTCAATAAAGAGTCCAGTAATCGACTCTCTGCCTCCCCCCCCCCCCCCTCTGTCTCTCACACACATTCACTATTGATCTCATTAATTTACATTACATTCTCATTAGCCTCAATGAGCATTTCATTTTACACCAGCAGGCTGATGGCCGTGCACTGGTGAAAGCAGCACTATCAGTCAACAACAACAGATTGCTCCAATCATTTGGATCACGCTGTGTATAAATACCATTAACACTGATTTGGCAGTAAATTTTTGTTTTTTTAATTTGAATCTTATTGTTTTAACTGAGCTATTTTTTTTTTTTTTCCTGTCAAGAAGCTTCGTTTCATTAAACCTGAGAAATAAAACAAAGATTTCATGTTTGCTGTGAAAGTCAAACTGCTGCTGTGAGATCAGTGTGTCGTCATGAATGAACGTCTGTTGTGTCGATGTGTGCGTACGTGTCCGGAAATGGCAAAATAAAAAAATAAAAATAAAGGGACGATTTGTCTCTTGAAAAATCAAACTAAAACCTGTAATTACAACTGTAAATCCAGGGGTGGGGGTGGGGGGGGGGCATCATTCTTATCAGTGGGAGTCACACTCTGGCAGAGCAGCAGAGGAGCGCTCAACCCTTCCAGAAAGAGAATTCAAAATTATTCACTGAGATTGAGAAGCAGTGCAGAAATGATTACCTCAGTCTGACAAGCATCAGATTTCTCCCAACATGTTGTAAAACGCAGTTTCAAACAAAAAAAAAAATTAAATATTCTACTAAAACCGGCTCCAGTGTGACGTACATTTTCCTGCGATGCTGAACAGGATGTGTGGTGTAGCTGTGAGTGGTGAAAAGGAAATGAAAGTTTCCTGCTGGTTCTCACTCAGCCATGTATACAGTAAACCACTACTCCTGTTACTACGCATGTAAACACACTGACTGACTCTTAGCACATGATTTCTGCCCATTTGCTCCGTCGTTATCGTCGGGGGGGGGGGCCGTGCAGCTCGCAGCAATCGATCTCCTGTGAGATCATTTAGTTTTGAGGGTGGATTTACACGCGGCCACAAGCTGCACAAACATATATAAAGAAGAGACGTCAGGTTAATAAGAATCTGTTTTCCTGGACTGTTGAAATATGTTTTAAGTGTTTGTCACATGCAGCTAATGCGCTGTGTTATTGTGTTGTTGTAAAAACAGAGATTCATTCAAACAGAAAACCGATGTGCAACCGTGTTACACCCCTTATTACCCCCTTTATTGTTTTATACCCCCTCATTCATCAGATTCATCAGGCAGAAGTTGCAGTGTGTGATCACTAGGTGGCACAGTTGATGTTGAAATGGTATCGCTGAGCTGCTTTGTGGATAAATTCAAAATGGCATTAATCTAATGTTCAGTAATTGTACTGTTATATTATCGCTGTCATGTGACCTCTGAAGGACCCGAGGCGTCACATATTTTTAACATGTTTTTATGAGCCAAACTGAAGTTACAGTTTCTGAGCTCAGGTTCTATAATTTGAGCTGCACACAGATGATTTGTGTGGCTTTCTTTCCTCTGTAAAAACAAAGAGAACACAGACTCATGAGCTCATGCACCCTCCTTGTTCTTGGCACATACAAAACTCAGCATATATGTAGATATCAGCAAGTTCACCGCGAGTTCCTTATTGTTTCTGAGAACCAGAGGGACTTTTTCTTTTCTTCTTCTTCTTCTTCTTTAAGTCTCTAGAGACAGATTCTATTTTAGTCTCTCCTCGACTTCTCAGGACCCAGGCCAAACCCATGTGAATTGCTAATACTGACGATTTAGTAGCAACGGATGCCGGTGGTTGAATGTGTGTTCGTCTGTTCAGACTACAGCGAGAAACGAGGGTCAAACCTGTTGTGCCTGTGGCAGAGGAGAATCTGTTCTGTTCACTAAATGTTTTGCTTCTGACTGTTTCTTGTTTTTATTCTCATGTGTCCTACAGGGTGACGTGTCAGACAGGCAACAGCCATTCGTCTTGAAATCACACATCAGAGTAGGAAGTCAGTCTGCGTCTGCCTCCACTATTAACTTTGCTCACACTGAGGTGTTAAAAATTATCCTCCAGCAGTAGGTCAAAGGGTCATCTGAGTGGTCTGAATGACGAGTTGTGTGAATAATGAAGCAGGCCTGATACAAGCTGGCCTTTCGATTCGGAGTCAATAAACATTAAACTAACGAGCAGATAAGATTAACCAGCTTTATTTTCTGTTTTCTTGATCTTTAAACTCAGATTTCTTTTCTCAGTCAAAACATCTGTTGCTGTGCATGTGATTTTCAGCCTTTTCCTAAATGGCCTTAAAATGTCCTTTACATTTTTCATCTTGCTCTCCCTTTGTCAGGTGGATTTTACTGTCTTTTTTTTCTTATTGTCTTTCTCATGACTCAAAAGCATCAGGCTGAGACCGCCGTCGGAACTTCGATGTGACTCGCCATCCCAGATGAGTAAACGGCCGGACTTGTCAGGGAGCGTGAAGACTTTAACGTCTCACCGAAACGACACAGTGTAACTCTGGCGTGGATGGATTAAATTGCATGTGGCAGTGGAAGAGCGCCACATGTCCTCGAGCGGGACACCGAGCCTCGGCGAGCGTGTTCACTCTCTATACGACTATTAACGCCTCTGCAGAGGGAGATCTGAAAATCCTGTGTGAGTCAGGGTGAAGTCAGACTCACAGTTCTGTTTCTTTATATTAAAGGGAAAGTGGAAACTTGGTAAAAGCCAAATTTTCAATTATGTAAATGCGATTACTTGTGCTTGAAACATAGATTTCTGTTACGTATATGTGATTTTAAAAGTTGACCAGCTGCGCAGACTTTATTTGTAATATCTGTCTAACAATGCTTCTTCACTGTGTCTCATAACTTCACTGCTTTCTCTGAACAAGAAACCAGAAAGAGTCAAAACCAGCATGTCTGTCGGAGTCAGAACAAGAGAGTGGGGGAGACACGGGAATCAGCACCTTCACCTCAAATTCAACATCACTCACCAACAGCTGAGTCATACTTACAATTCAATGACAACTATCTAATCTAATCTAAATCTACATCTAAACCTTAATCTAAATCTAATCTAATTTTATCTAATCTAAACTAATATAAATCTAATCTAATCTAATCTAATCTAATCTAATCTAATCTAAACTAATCTAATCTAATCTAATCTAATCTAAATTTAATTTAATTTTAATCTAATCTAATCTATAGCTGCAGAAATTGAACATTTCACTGCCTCACAGTTGTGAAACTGTGCCCCCTCAACAGTAATGGAAAGCAGCAGCTTGTGACTGAATGAAAAGTTCATTTCCACCCACTTCTGATTGACAGCAAAGAGAGAGAGAGAGAGAGAGAGAGAGAGAGGTCAGGCACCTCTGCGGGGCGTTCAAAGGCGTCACTTGCAGGAAAAGGTAAAAAGTCTCTGAAGTGGCAGTTAAAGTGAGACAGTTTAAGGGAACGTGGCTATGAACAATAAAATATGGAAATGAGTACGTCATGATTATATCTGTAATATCTGAGTAGGGGTTTCAGGCTGCATGTGGCAGAGCTACACAAAGGAAATGTGCAACTGTACTCTTATCTCCCGGCATGCGGTTGATTAACCGCTGATACTTGTATGTAGCCGGCAAATCATGAAACCAAAAGATATATCCTCTGTTGGGGCCAGAGGGGAGAGTTGGTTTGATTTATTGCATTTCAGCAGGAAAAGTTAAAGTAAAAAGCTCATGGTGTTACAGGCTGGAACAGTTTAAATCAAACTGATTATCAGAACTATGTTTCATATTCACTGTTACAACTTTCTATAAAGCCTTTGTAATTCCTGTTTTCTTTTTTCACTTTTTGAAATAGTTCAATATCAAAATAGTCACCGTGTACTTTCCCAGCAACAAAGCTGCTATTCTGCGGCACTGTTTGTCTTTTCCAGGCTTCGACATGACTCCAGAACATGTCACTGCATCTGTCTTTTGCTATCTGCGTCCTCCACACTGACTTTTAGTGTGAAGAGATGAAGCAGTTTGGATTCTGCAAAAGAAAAGAAAAAAAAAAAAAAAACAGCTGATCGTGCAATAAAGCAAAAAAAAAAAAAGAAAAAAGACGCCCAAATGTCAGTGTGGACAGAAAGGGGAAACTGAGCTCATCACAGAGGAAACTCCCACAGAGTTCTCGACAGTGTTCATGAGGAGCTGGTTGACAAGAAGGAAGCGATGGTGACAGACGGACAGACGAAGGAAAAGCAGTCTTCATCATCTACGGCAGGTGAGTGGGAGATTTGATCTGGTGGAGGGCTCCGATGGGGTGAAAAGGTCGCGTCATGTTGCTGAGATTTATACTCTTTAAATAAACTTTGTGTTCATGAGCTTGAAGCTGTGAGCATGTTGTAGATATCACAGTAAGACAGAGCTCATGTTTAGTGATATTTATGTTCAGCTGGAATTTGTCTTTACGATTCCAAGACACATTAGTTCATCTGAAAACATTAAGTCAAAGAGAGCCGGACTCGCTGGTCGGTGCAGTGGCTCTGAGCGTCAGAACAGATCCACGTTTTGTCAATTGACGTGTGTTCTGCAGTGACGTTGTGTGTTCTACGGTGACGTTGTGTGTTCTGCAGTGACGTTGTGTGTTCTGCAGTGACGTTGTGTGTTCTGCAGTGACGTTGTGTGTTCTGCAGTGACGTTGTGTGTTCTGCAGTGACGTTGTGTGTTCTGCAGTGACGTTGTGTGTTCTGCAGTGACGTTGTGTGTTCTGCAGTGACGTTGTGTGTTCTGCAGTGACGTTGTGTGTTCTGCAGTGACGTTGTGTGTTCTGCAGTGACGTTGTGTGTTCTGCAGTGACGTTGTGTGTTCTGCAGTGACGTTGTGTGTTCTGCAGTGACGTTGTGTGTTCTACAGTGACGTTGTGTGTTCTGCAGTGATGTTGTGTGTTCTGCAATCTTGACCTGCAATGCCACCATAGAGAGGTTTTCCTCAGAGCTGATGTTGAAATGCGATAGTGGATGAATGATGTGATGTCCTCCCCGTCACATCCTGTGACTCAGATATAACTTGAATTGCAGAAGAATTTTGAAAGAAAGTGACACACACACACACACACACACACACACACACACACACACACACACACACACACGATGATTTGGACTTCATGCCATCCAAAAGCTTCTTTGTAAAGGAGACATTTCTTCTTGTCTTCTCGGATGTTTTGTGCTCACTGCCACTTCACTGCCACTTGCCGACACGTGCAACTTTTCCACGTCTACGCTCGTATTTGGGTGAAACTCCATTTTGTCTTTGATTTTTATGCGGCTGATGGTTTTGTGTCAGCATCACTGTCAAAGCCGCTGCTGAGCTCTGCTGTGTGACGACCTGCTGCAGCACAGACAATAACAGGTTGTGAAGGTTATTTGGTTTCAGATTTGATGTTGAATTCCCACATCCTCCTGGGGGGGTTTTCCCCAAACCTACTACTGTAAACAGCATCTAAAAAGACACGAGTAGAGTCTGTTATGCCTGATCGATCCCTAAAATCCCCCCCGTCTGACTGTTCTACTGTTTCTGAAATGTTATATTTTCTCCTTTTTAAACAAGTTTGTTTCAGCCACAAAATGATCTTAAAATCAAGTTATTTGAATTAGTCTACAGAGATCTACATTATTTATTATATTAAATATGTGATTATGTAAATTACCTTTGAAAAATGATGCTTTTTTCATTAATTTAGGAAAAAATAATAAAGAATGAATCATGCCGCACATTTATTTAAAATGAATTTTCAGATGCAGGATGTATTTCGATTCAGAAATGACACATTGGTGTTACATATGTGGCTGATTGAAGGATAAGTTTGATTGCAGATAAAAACACGCTTCAAAAGAAAAAGGAAGTATGAAATAACAAAATAAACAAAAATGAGACCTAAATAACCTGATGAAAGTGGAATCTGCATTTCATTTTAGTGCAGAAATTGTTTTTTAAAAGAGTCCAACACTCTCAGGTAAAAGATTTCATGATAAAATCCTTTTGAAGCCCATGAAATTTTGGCTAAATTGACCTGGTCAGGAAGCACAGGAAGCCCGGCGCTCCACCTGGTTGTTGGGCTCGAGTGTCGGTGGCTGGGTCGTAAACACAACAGTTTTATAAACAGATGTTCTAGGTTCTAATAAACTCTGACTATTACTGCAGGTACGTTATGGCTTTTATCCAACATCAACGTCACACATCAGCCAGGAGTGGACCGACGCTGACGTGTTTTCATCCTACATGATCAACTAAGACAAAAATTTGTACAAAAATGAATAAATAAATAAAAAACTGTGGCTGAAAAGCTGCAGAGAAAAAGAAGTTGAAAATGGTGCAGCTCCCAGTCAGTCCAGTCACACAGAACAGACAGTGGGCGGGAGACAACAGGATGCTCATCTGAGTTTATTTAGCAGTATGACACTGTGTGGCGGTGACGATGATCCCGGTGCCGTATCTACTGCTGCAGTGTCCAGTCTGACCTCTGACCTCACTCTCTCTGCAGCCGCTAACACATCAAGGCCTTTATAACTGTAGTTCGGAGCAAATCAGTTCAGTATTTTTTATTATAATCCTTTTGACAAATAAACAGACAAACGACAAAACAAAACCTCTTCAGCAGAGGTAATAAAACCTTTTCTTAAAAACGCTGCCACTTTGGACGAGTACACTTTGTGCTTTTTAGTTATATTTAAACAGACATGAAACCACCGATCTGTATCATCAGTAGTGTGTGTGTGTGTGTGTGTGTGTGTGTGTGTGTGTGTGTGCATGTGCATGTGTGTGTGCGTGTGTGTTTTTTATCAGACCCAATGACATGTGAGAGGGAGAGATAAGAAGCAGGCGGATGTGTGGTGACATCCCACAAGCCGACACTCAAAGCAGAAGTGACTGCTGGCTGTGCTGTCATGACTCATTTCTTCATTATTTCTAGTAAATGAACTCTTTTCTCTCTCTCTCTCTCTCTCTCTCACTCTCTCTCTCTCTCTCTTACTGTCTCTATATATCACCTCTACAGACTGCTTGATGATATGAATACACACAGTTCAGGTTGTGTCCTGATACCACGTCAGAGAAAACCAAACGGGGCTGGCAGCCCTCAGGAATGATGCCTCTCCTCTGGGTCGTTCTCTGGTCGACGCTCCCTCCTCTGGCTCTTTCCTCTGGTCCGGATCGTTGTATCGTCCCTGAGAGCAACGGCACACAGAACGGTAAGTCTTCGTATTCACCTGGCACAGTTAAAGCCTCCACAAGCCTTTCAGGATTGAATATTTCAACTTGTAACTCGGCTAAATCTGGATGTTTTAAGATGCAGGAGGCACAAATCAAAATACATATAAGTGCACGAGTACTTTACATAGTACAGCTTGAAGTACTCGGCGTCACACACAAAAGGCCGAGGTTTGCAGAGTCCTGGCTGTGGTCAGGTTTAGGTGATGAGGTCAGGTTAGGAAAGATAGCGGTGTGAAAAAGCTCCCTGACTTCAAAACCAAGACGCGCTGTCTCCCCATCGTCCTCAGCAGAACACAGGGTGACGTCTTCTCAGTTCATGCGTCAACAGTTTCTCATACAAAACACACTGTCATCTTTAAAATGTGCTTCACAACAAGGTTTTTTCTTTTTTAAAGTTTTAAACTCCGTCTTTATAAAGCTCCTTGTAGGAAAATTTTAACCTGTTTCTACTTCAAATTACGACCTGACGTATTCCTCCATGTTTGAAGCTACAGAAGCTCATTTCGGTTTTAAACAAGTTGATTTAAATCAGAGACAGGTTGAAGGATTCTTTCTGCACACGTGTTCATATAGACAGAAATACTTTTATAGGATTTAGATTTAAGTTAAGTAACAGTAAAAATGCTGTTTGCACATTAAGGTAAATATATAACACTGGGAAAGCATAATGCACAACAAGCCCTTTACTTTAGACGCAGCCTTCACCTAATAGTTCTGCATTTTTACTTTTACTAATAAGATTTTGAATATGTGACTTTCCTGTCTAATAACAGCACTTTCACTTAGTCACGGACCAGTCAGCTACAAGCTAGATTTCTCCGTCTCTCCCCAGGGTCTCTGTTGCTGCAGTCTTTAGAGTGCCACAACAACTACCATTCCCACGTCCACTGCAAATGGAGGCAACACGGAAACACACCACTGCAGCTTTGGTTCACGGATGAAGACGGCAGGTAAACTAAAGCGGAGAAGACGAGAGAGAACCAGAGGGAACAACAAATGTTTGGGAATGAATTTGATGATGAATATATGTGTGATATTGCAAACAAAGTTTTCTTTTCGTCCATGTCCTCGCAGTGAGTTGTGCGTGCCGTACAGTCCACCAGTCCAGGATGAGCACAGGACAGTCCAGTGTAAATATAACACCGGTGTGTTTGGCATTGCCATCAAACACACCGTCTTCTTCCTCAAGAACGAGACGCTGACCGCCTGCTCATCCGTCCCACACCAGCCCTGGCTTCTCTCTCAGCAGCGTGAGTTGTCAGTCACGACTGTGATAATTACAGAAATGAATGAGAACAAATGAAAACCTTTGATGAGGAAGTAACATCAGCTGTTTACGATTTGAGGGTCGTCACTTCAGCTGCTCAAGTGTACGTGTTTTTGTGTGTGTGTGTTGTGCAGTGAGAGCGCGCCCACCGCTGGGTCTGTCCACACATGATGCAGGTGATGGAGGCCGACGGCTCAGTTGGTCCAGCCCCTACCCCTCCTCCTCCGCCCTGAACAGACACCTCATGTACCAGCTGAGCTACAGAGCAGAGAGACATGACAACTGGAGTGTGAGTTTAAAAAAAACATGTGCTGCTAGTGACACATTATTATTCATCACTTTTGAAATTGTGGAGAGGCTTTTCAGAATCCCGAAAGTTTAGGCGGTGTAATGTTTCTGAAATGTTTTACTTCAAATGAAATGTCAAAAGTAGAAGCTGAAACGGGATTTTAAGAGATTCATTTTAATGTGCACTTGTGCTATTGTAGTTCCTGAACACATTCTGACGTCTAAACAGCTTTCTGTGTTACATTATATTTAACAGTGATAATGAAAGCAGTTTCCGGTGCATTAATCACATCTGATATAGACCTACTGTAGTTCCCCTGACAGGAAAACCAGTGAAAGCTCTGAACCCATGAGGCACATTCTCATTCAAATTTGTGTACTCGTGTCAGTCTGGTGATAAAATGAAGCATCGATATGTGAGACATACTTTTAGATTGGGAATAACAGAACAATAGCAGGTGGATAGCGGTTAGCCTTGGTGCTAATCTCGTAGTGACAACAGATAAAGAGGCAAAAATGATCTCCTTTAGTTACAAGATACAAACAGTGTAACAGCTGTTTTGAAATTAGCAGGTGTAACAGGGGCGAAGTTTACTGTGTTCACCATCTTAATTTAGCATGCTAACATTTTGTGGCTAAAAACAAATGAAGGTTTTGTATTTGTATTGCAGACTTTTAGCTTGTTGCTAATCCAGTGTGCTCTGTGTATTACCACGCACAGGAAGCAGAAACAAACCAAACAAAAAATCATGTTCCAAAATATTTCTTTGACCTTGAGTGAAATGTTTGCATCTGTCTTCCCTCTCCCTGCAGACCCTGGGTGTCACAAACACCAGTGTGAAACTAGAGAAGCAATCGTTGCGTCTGGGTCACAGGTACGAGGCCAGGGTGAGGGCCCGGGCCAGCGTGGGCCAGTGGAGCGACTGGAGTCCTGTGGTGACCTGGACGACCCAAGATGGTGAGTCAAAGAAAAGAAAAAAGAAAAGAAAATGAGCGTAATTTAAAACCTACATGCAATCATTTAACAAAATTGTGGCTCATTTCCCCGCATGTGCATAATGTGGCTTCAACTTTGACATTTCTGAAAAACCATTTAGCTGGCATATTTAATGTACTGGATCATTGTGCACAAGTAGGGAGCTTCTGATACAAACCCTGCTCCTTATCTCCCTCCCTCACATTTCTAATCTTCTCTCTCTGTCCGTTTTTATGGAAGAAAAGTCTGGAGCTTTGCAGCTGTTGTTAATAGCTGTCTTTTTCTCTCTGGCCCTAGACACTGGGCAGATTCCCAGTTTGCATTGTGTGCTGGAAGGAGAGAAGGAGGTGATGTGCAGTTGGGAGGTGAGCAGAGAGCTGGCTCACTTCATTGCCTACCAGCTGGCCTGTCGACAGAACCGGACTGCACCGTAAGTGGAGTGTGACGCTCACAACAACCACCTGATTGGGGCTGAAACGAGGGCAGCCGTCCAGCTATCATTCATTCCTTTATCTGACCGTTCCTCTCCTCCTCCTCCTTATCGCTGCCTCCAGGTCTGAGAGATGCTGCGAGAAGCCCAACATCAGTTCTGAGACCAACGGGACGGTGCTGACGTACAGCTGCTCGCTGATGGTCGCACATCCTGCACATTTGCTGCTGGAGCTTCTACCAACACGCAATACCAAGAGCTTTTGGACCTACAAACACAGTGAGTGGACACGAGACAGAGGTCACAACAATTACAAGAGAGGAAGAGCGGGAAAGGATGCTGGGGGGGGGGGGGGGGGGGGGCTGTTGCTCTGAGCAGAGTAGGGAGTGGAGATAAAATGTTCTGCCAAATCAAAACCACACAAAGCAGCTGTTCAGGCGAACAGAAGAGCCGTGATGTGTGTCCCCACCTAGTGTTTGAATGTTGCTACTGCACCTCTGTCTGTTTATTACCCACAAGAAGACAAGACAAGACGGTTTGGTTTTATTCTCTCCAAAAAATTCACAGAAAAACAAACAAACAAACAAACAAACAAACAAACAAACAAACAAACAAACAAACAGAAAAACTCAATCCTGGAATAAATATAATATGCATAAACACAGAATAGTCACAATAATAAAACAGTTGAAGCATGACACAGGATAATAAAAAACATTAAAACAAAGTATTTTTTTTAATAAAATGCTAAATACATTCACCCGTCTCTCCTCTTTCCAATAGATCCATATGAATTTTGACTATGACTGACCCTATGTTGGCCATCTAGAGATTTATACATGACTTAACATGACTTGCTGAACAGTATGAGTGTTTAACCATATCAGTGATTTAAAACATTAAATGGGTTCATGGAAAAATGTAAAGTATCATCTTGTTGTTTCTTGATGAGAACGTGGGAACAGAAATGACCCGCTCTTCGCCGTCTTTTATCCTCTGTGGTGAAGCTGTGTGGAGCACTGTAGTGCATGTGTTGATAATCTGATTTACGCTACAAACGCATGTCTCGGTCCACAGTCCGTCCCGACCCGCCGCAGCTGCTGAGAGTGAGGGAGAAAGACTGTAACTCGATCGCAGAATGGACTAAACCGAGCAAACCTTCAACACTGAAACTTTATTACCAGGTCTGCTGTTACAAGACACAGGAAGAGGTGAGGAACTTTTATTTAATTGTAATATTATTATTAAAATATTGCATTTAGTTCACGTAATAGGAGCTTGCCTTTAGAACAGACACGAGCAGACAGTATCTAATGGATTTTTATATGCATTACATTATCAGGGATGTTCCATCCTGCTGAACGTATCCAAGGATTCTGTGACCTTACCGAGAATGTCTGTGGCCCCGTCCCAGCGCTACCAGGTCAGAGTCCGGTCGCTGGTCGTCCCTGGAGAAGGTTCCACGTACGAGGGGATCCCGTCCGAGTGGACTGACCCTGTGGACTGGAACACGCCTGCAGGTACCACATGCACAAGAGGAAGTGACCAGTTAATTCAGAGGTAAAAATCATCATCATCATCATCATCATTTATTCTGCTTCCTGCTCTCTGACAGCCACCTGGTCCCTCGCCACCTTGGTGTATGTTCTCAGCAGTGTGTTTGTGGTCGCAGTCTTCTTCACACTCTACTGCACCATTCCAGCTTGTCGAAGGTACGTCGCTCATGTATTTGCACTGTATTCGTGTTACTCCCCAAACTTGAAATTGCCTGAACACACTGTTAAGATGTTGCTGCAGCTGTCAGATAAATAGAGTACATACGTAATACAAATAGTCCATCTAAAACGTTGTCAAGTTAAGCGCCAAAAAGTTTAAAATGTTTAAGCATCAATACCTCTCGTTGCTTTCCAACCGTGATGGACAAATATTCCTTCGGTATCCACTCGGCATGTTTTCCTCACATGCCAGTGACAGTCCTATTAGTGACAGGTGTGTGCACATTTTTCATGTTAAATAAAACTCTGTCTTTCCATGGTGTATTTTGAACAAACAGGAGGGTGATCGTGTGGGTGGACTCGGTCCCGTCTCCAGGCAAGAGCAAAATCCTGTCTGAGCTCAAGGTGAGACTGAGTTTACTGAACCTGTTTTAATCAGTCACTGAGTTATTCTGTTTGAAATGTGACGCGTGAGTCATTGTGTATTTTCTGTGATCCAGTCCGCCACCAGTCAGACCTTCACGCAGAGTGAGGACCTGTCCATCAGCAAAGAGCACAACTACGACACCATATCTACATGGTAACACATCACCAGACATTACAGCAGTTAATCATCCTTCTATCTGAAAACTCTGCTCCACCTCCAACAGGGAATACATGTGCAGTCCGATTCATTCAGGATACGCTATTTTGTGCCACCTGCATGACGGGGTGAGTTACTCTGTATCTGTCTCTCCCTGCAGCTCGCTGTGGCCCGCCACCGACACTGATAAAAAGAGTGTGGAGACGAACGAGAGCTTCTGGAGCAGTGGCAACTTGCTCATCCTTTCTGAGAAGGTTAACAGCTCTGAAACTTCTTCCTTGAGCTTCAGCGGGCCATACATCTTCTGTCAGGTCAGATACTGACACAGCCAGGTTTTCTAGGTGCCCAACACTGATCAAAAAATAACACAAAAAGACATTGAACACTGAATTTAACTGAATCTGAATGTTCAATATCTACTGTCCAATATAGACACAAAAATACAAAGAGCCTGTGATTCTCCAGCTCCAATAAAACACTGACATGTCAAAACAACTGACTGTTTCTTAGCCTGGTGCAGTCAGAGGAAGTCACTTCTTCAGGTCTAAGAAATACTTCAGAACACAACCCCCATGAAACCACAATGTGTTGTTTTGACACTTGCATATATTTAACAAACACATACTGCACAGCAGTTTATAAATTAGCAAATGACATTTAGACAGCTATTGCTATCAAATAATTATTATCAATTAATTTCCAGCCATTACATTTGATACTAAACAGCACTGTGTCTCTCTGACAGGTGTCAGAGTCCAGCAACAATTCAGTGGGCGTCAAGCGTGAAGAGAATCAGAAAGAAGAACCAAACATATCTGATGACTCTCCTTCCCCTGTGAACTTTGCCTTTTACGGAGAAGGTTACGTGTGTCTACCCAACCGCACCGTCTCCAGGTCCACACAGGAGCTCGTATCTCACAGCGATGCCAACACAAACACACGCAGGGACGACAGCGCCGAGAAACACGAACAGTGTCCAGATACCACGCTGGACGTCGAGCCCGATGTCAGAGAGGACACAAGCAAGGACGAACCTCCGCCTTACACCTCCGAAACTTTCAGCCCCTGGATTCAAGGCGGCGCCATACACGCCTCAGGCTACTTCCACCTCCCACCTCCCACCTAACGAGAGCAGCAGAGGGATGTGCAACATGCAAGGGAAGCGCGCCTCAAGCAGGACTTCTCAGGCTTTTGCAGCAGATCAAACAGCTAATCAAGCAATGATTTCTTGTGTCTTTATAAACTTTACATTTTATTTCAAGTACTTTTACTCCCATGTGATGAAAAAATGAATCACATGCATCAATTATTGGGTTGTTGCACAATTTATTGAGAAAAACCTTTTTGCTTGTGTTATTCTTATCTGACCTGAGATCATGTTGGGTGTCCGACCGATGGAGGGCAGTAGTGAGCTGGGCCTGTGAGTGACTGTGACTGCAGTATGGCACAAACAGTAAACCTTTCTTAACTCAGCTGCACAAACTAAATCAGGATAAATGTAATCGATTACAACAGTCCTGCAGTTAAGCGGACGTTTGTGAAACTCAAAGTGTGTGTCTTTTTTTTATTGAGAACTGTCTGAGATATTCAGTTAAGTGAACTATGATCATTTAACTGACTCTCCACGCTTTCTCACACATGTAGGTGTTTCATGCAGATTCTAACCACAGGGTGTTGAGAACACTGTCGACATGTTGGTTTGTTTAATTTTTTTTTTTATTATTACTTCCTCAAATTTGGTGTCCCTGTCACCGCTCAGATAAGAAGCTGAATTATGTCAACTGCATTTCATAAGAAAAATGCGTACGTTTGCTGACCGCCCTGTCCACTGCATTCTTGTACAATATGCATGTTTGCACAAATGGTTGTGAGTTGGGATCTTGTTGTCGATGTGTCGCTGAATGTATGCGGCATACTGTATGTTATCTACATTGTGATGTGCTAATACTGCTGCTGTTGAGCACTGAGGCCTGCAGATATATTTGAAATGAAGGGAAGAGGTAGTGAAAATATAAATGTTAAAGCTATATTTAAGATAGACGTGCCTCCAGTTATATTACTTATAGGCCTAATTGATGTGACTAACAGATGATGAATGAGTAACCTGAGTTAAATAATGTAAGCATTTTTTTTTTTTTTTTAACAATGTGATAGTAAGGTTTTCCATTTTTTATGTCATGAATGGTAGAAATGAAAAAAAACAGTTGACAAGTTGAGAGAAAATTGTTTCAAGTTTTCATGCTGGCTGATAAGCTGTGTGACAAGTGCTATAATATGAAGGTTATAATGGCTTAATGGTATGCTTTTTATACTGCTTTATTTATCCAAAGTATCATTTCCATAGAATCTACGTATTAAGAAATGTAGATACTGCACTGTCAACGATGTCCATGTTCAAGAAAATAAACTTTATTTTGATTACAGTAGCTGCCTGGAACAAATATATGTCTTGCTAATGTGTTGGTCTAACTGCTGGTTTATATGGTAATTAATTATATATATTATATATATAATATATATAATTAAAAATAAGTTTTTATGACTTTTTGTAAATTACTATTATATGACATTTTTATAAAAATGTCATATAAAATTATGAAATTTTTTTTACGTTTTATGCCTGACCTTTAATGACTTTTTTTCTCCAATACTAATTCAACAGTGGTAATTAAAGAGCCTTTATTGCTAAACTACTGGTTGTTTCTGTGTCTGAATCTGCACTGGAGTCCAAACAGCATTTTGAACAGAAAATAGCACTATGACTTTTTATGCCTTGTTATACAATGACATCGATTTTAGGTCTTACTACATTTTGAAGTTTTGTGCCTTACTATACTATGAGGTGTTTATGACTTTTTACGCTTAAATAAACTATGACTTTTTTATGACTTTTTATGTATATTATACATAAAAAGGCACTATATTATGACGTGCTGATGACTTTTTATGCCTTACTATACTATGATTTTTTTTTACTTTTTATGACTTATTGTACTATGACGTTTTTTTAGCTTACTATAATATGATATTTTTTATAGATCACTTTAATATGACGTTTTTGAGAGGTTTTTGTGCCTTACTATACAATGACATTTTAATGACTTTTTATGCCTTTTAGTGCCTTACTATACTATGATGTATTTCTGGCTTTTTAAGCCTTACTATACTATGATATTATTAGCCATACTATACTATGACTTTTTGTGACTCTTTATGTCTCACTATACTATGACGTTTTTATGCCTTTTAAAGCCTTACTATACTATGACATTTTGATGACTTTCTATGCCTTACTATACTATGACATTTTTATGCCTTACTATACTATGACGTTTTTATGCCTTACTATACTATGACGTTTTTATGCCTTACTATACTATGACGTTTTTATGCCTTTTAAAGCCTTACTATACTATGATATTATTAGCCATACTATACTATGACTTTTTGTGACTCTTTATGTCTCACTATACTATGACGTTTTTACTCCTTTTAAAGCCTTACTATACTATGATATTTTGATGCCTTACTATACTATGACTTTTAAATAACTTTTTATGCCTTACTATACTATGACATTTTTATGACTTTTTATGACTTACTATACTATGACATTTTTATGCTTTTTTATGCCTTACTATACTATGATGTTTTTATGACTTTTTATGTCTCATTATATTATGATGTGCTGATGACTTTTTATGCCTTACTATACTATGTTTTCTTTTTTGACTTTTTACGCCTTGCAATACTATGATGTTTTTATGCCTTACTATACTATGACATTTTTTTGACTTTTTATGCCTTACTATACTATGATATTTTTTTGACTTTTTATGCCTTACTATACTATGAAATTTTTATGCCTTACTATACTATGACGTTTTTTTGACTTTTTATGCCTTACTATACTATGATGTATTTCTGACTTTTTTACCTTACTATGCTAAGACGTTTTTATGACATTTTACGCCTTACTATACTATGACATTTTTATGCCTTACTATACTATGACGTTTTTTTTTTTTTTTTTTAACTTTTTATGCCTTACTATACTATGACTTGTTTGTGACTTTTTATGTCTCATTATACAATGATGTTTTTTTGAATTTTTATGGCTTCCTATACAATGACATTTTTATGCCTTTTTAAGCCTTACTATACTATGACGTTTTTATGACTTTTTAGCCTTACTAAACTATAATGTTTTTATGACTATTTACGCCTTACTAAACTACAATGTTTTTATGACTTTTTACGCCTTATTAAACTATGACGTTTTAATGACTTTTTATGCCTTACTATACTATGACTTTTTAATGACTTTTTATGCCTTACTATACTATGACTTTTTAATGACTTTTTATGCCTTACTATATTATGATGTTCTGATGACATTTTTATGCCTTACTATACTCTGACGTTTCTATGACTTTTTACACCTTACTATACTATGACATTTTTTTTAATTTTTATGCCTTACTATACTATGACGTTTTTATGACATTTTACGCCTTACTATACTATGACATTTTTATGCCTTACTATACTATGACTTTTAAATAACTTTTTATGCCTTACTATACTATGACATTTTTATGCCTTTTTATGCCTTACTATACTATGACTTTTTAATGACTTTTTATGCATTACTATACTATGACATTTTTATGACTTTTTATGACTTACTATACTATGACATTTTTATACTTTTTTATGCCTTACTATACTATGATGTTTTTATGACTTTTTATGTCTCATTATATTATGATGTGCTGATGACTTTTTATGCCTTACTATACTATGTTTTCATGACTTTTTATACCTTACTATACTATGACATTTTTTTTGACTTTTTACGCCTTGCAATACTATGATGTTTTTATGCCTTACTATACTATGACATTTTTTTGACTTTTTATGCCTTACTATACTATGATATTTTTTTGACTTTTTATGCCTTACTATACTATGAAATTTTTATGCCTTACTATACTATGATGTATTTCTGACTTTTTTACCTTACTATGCTAAGACGTTTTTATGACATTTTACGCCTTACTATACTATGACATTTTTATGCCTTACTATACTATGACTTTTTTGTGACTTTTTATGTCTCATTATACTATGATGTTTTTTTGAATTTTTATGGCTTCCTATACAATGACATTTTTATGCCTTTTTAAGCCTTACTATACTATGACGTTTTTATGACTTTTTAGCCTTACTAAACTATAATGTTTTTATGACTATTTACGCCTTACTAAACTACAATGTTTTTATGACTTTTTACGCCTTATTAAACTATGACGTTTTAATGACTTTTTATGCCTTACTATACTATGACTTTTTAATGACTTTTTATGCCTTACTATACTATGATGTTTTTATGACTTTTTACGCCTTATTATACTATGATGTTTTTTTGACTTTTTAAGCCTTATTATACTATGACTTTTTAATGACTTTTTATGCCTTACTATACTATGATATTTTTATGACTTTTTACGCCTTACTATACTATGACAGTTTTATGACTTTTTATGCCTCATTATACTATGACATTTTTATGCCTTTTTATGCCTTACTATACTATGACATTTTTATTGATAGTAAGCTGCGTAAAAAGTCATAAAAAACGTCAATAGTATAGTAAAGGCATAAAAATATCATAGTATACGTAGGCGTAAAATGTTCTAATAAAAAACGTCATAGGTATAGTAAGGTAAAATATTGACAGAAAATACATTATAGTAGTAGTGGCATTAAAGGCATAAAAATGTCATAGTATACGTGAGACATATAACTAGTTCACAAAAAAGTCATAGTATATGTAAGGCACAAAACCGTCAAAAAAACATCATAGTTTAGTACAAGTAAAAAACTGTCATAGTATAAGTAAGGCATAGTAAAAAGGTCATAAAAACGTCATAGTATAGTAAGGGCATAAAAAATGTCATAGTATATCGTAAGGCATAAAAAGTCATATAAAAATTTTCAATCAGTATAGTAAAGCGTAAAAAGTCAGTGAAAACGTCATAGTATACGTAAGGCATAAATAAGTCAAAAAGAACGACATAGTATAGTAAGGGCATAAAAAGTCAAAAAAACGACATAGTATCAAGTAAGGCGTAAAAAGTCATAAAAATGTCAATAGTATAGTAAGGCATAAAAATGCATAGTATAGTAAGTGCGTAAAATGTCATAAAAACGTCTTAAGTATAGTAAGGTAAAAACGTCACGAAATACATTATAGTAATAGTAAGGCATTAAACAGGCATAAATCATGTCATAAGTATAGTGGAGACAGTAAAAAGTCACAAAAAAAAGTCATAGTATAGTAAAGGCATAAAAGTCAAAAAAAGTCATATATACGTCAGGCGTAAAAAGTCATAAAAACGTCATAGTATAGTAAGGCATAAAAAAGAGTCAAAAAAATGTCATAAGTATAGTAAGGCGTAAAAAGTCATAAACAAAACGTCATAGTATAGTAAGACATAAAAATGTCATAGTATAAGGGCTAGTCATAAAAAGTCATAGATAGACTAAATCAGATACATAAGTATAGTAAGTCGCATTTAAAAGGCATAAAATGGTCATTGTATAAGGGAGACGACATAAAAAGTCACAAAAAAGTCATCAGTATGTTAAGGCAAAAAGTCAAAAAATACATCATAGTTATAGTAAGTGATAAAAAGCATAATGTCATAGTATAGTAAGGAGCCATAAAAGTCAAAACAATGCATAGTATAGTTAAGGCTAAAAATGTCATAAAAGTCATAGTAAAAAGTAAGTAGGCATAAAAAGTCAAAGAAAGTTCATAGTATTAGTAAGGCATAAAAAATAGTTATCAATGTAAAAGCAAAAGCATCATAGTATAGTAAGGTATAAAAGTCAAGTAACGACATAGTATAGTAAGGCATAAAAAGTCAATCGAAAAACGATGTCATAATATAGTAAGCGAAAAAGTCATAAAAATGATAGTACTAGTAAGGGCATAAAAAGCTAATGTCATAGTATAGAACAGGTAAGTGAAAATGTCATAAAAAAGTCATGAGTAATTAGTAGGATA